GCCGCCGAGGTGCGCTCCAAGCGGCGCGAGATGCAGGTGGCCAGCGACCTGTTCGTGGGCGGCATCCCGCCCGACGTGCGCCTCTCGGCGCTCACGCTCAGCACGGTCAAGTACGAGCCTCCCTTCCGCGGCCTCCTGGCCAACCTGAAGCTGGGCGAGCGGCCCCCGGCGCTGCTGGGCAGTCAGGGTCTGCGCGGCGCCGCCGCCGACCCGCTGTGCGCGCCCGCGCGCAACCCCTGCGCCAATGGCGGCCTCTGCACGGTGCTGGCCCCCGGCGAGGTGGGCTGCGACTGCAGCCACACGGGCTTCGGCGGCAAGTTCTGCAGCGAAGGTGAGCCCCAGGGAGCCACCGCCGGGCGCCTGGGTTCGGGAGTGAGGGGCTGGGAGTACCCCAGGGGGCTCGGCGGGTGGTGTCAGAGGGGGCAGGGCCTGTGGGCCGCAGGCGTGGGCCAGCGCGCGTGGCTTGTGAGGCCCTGTCCCTGTGGGGAGCGTGTGAGGGCGCGCGTGTGGGCGACAGGATGAATGCAGTTAACCAGTGAGCGGGGAGGGGGGGGCGGGTCGGCTGGTGTGGGCGTGGCCACCGTGGGCGTGGCCAGTGTGAGTGCCGAGGTGACCTGCGGGTCTTGAAGTGGTTGGAGAAGGAGGTTGCATGGGCCAGGTTGGTGAGGACTGCGGTACCTGTGAGGGTTTGTGGGCGGGGACTATGTGGGCGGGACCAAAAGGGCGGGGTCTGGGGACCCCGAAGATGGTGGGGGAGCCTTGTCACCAAGGGCTGTGAGTGGGGCCTGTGTGGGAGGGCCAGTGCGGTTGCGTTCTGTATGGGCGGGGCCTGCAGAAGGCTGTGGGTTGGATCTGGTGAGCCGGGATCACGGGAAGCCTAATGGGCGGGGCTTGTGATAGACAGTGGGCGGGGCTTGTGAAGGCTAGGGGCGTGGTCTGCTCACGATGTAGGGAAGAGCTGGGCTGGTGGTGACTGTAGGGCCCCTGCAATGGAAATCGACGTGTGAGGGGCTGGAAGTGCAGCCTGTGAGGCCTGGAAAGGACCAGAGAAGGCGGTGGGCGTGGGGAGAAGGGCAAGTGAGGGAGAAAGGCTTGAGAGGCGGTGACTGCACCTGCGCTGTCTGTCGCGGTTGGGGAGAGGCAGGAGCCGAGAGTTTCTTTTTCACCATAGAATCTGCAGGCCCCCTTCCAAAGTGAAGGAACAATGAGATCTCGAGAGAGTGGTTGAGGCTTCCGACTAGGAACTGATGGTGTTGGTGAGGGGCAAAGATGGCTGGTAGTCTCTTCGGATGCAAGACTGAGACTTGAGGCTTCTGTGTTAAACATCAGAACCCTTGAGAGCATGGGGACTGGGTGGGTGATTACTGGGGTGGACAGGAGTAGTTAGACTCGAATATGGAGCTGACTGTGGGATCAGGGCTTGACAGGGAGGCTTATGGGAAAGAGGGGCTGGGATTCTGCCAGCACCCCAGCTACCAGAGGAGGAGTGTCTGGTGAGGTGAGAACAGGTTGCTGGGTAGAGTCAGGCCTAGTCTGGCTCTGGTTTTCACAGGAAGGAGGGATTGTAAAGACCTCTTTTACTTTACCTTGGGCATTGGGGAGAGGTTTCTCCATCAATTTTGGGGCAGGGCAGGCCATTGCCTTCATCCCTTGTCCCTGGCAGCTGTTTTTCCAGCAGATGTATATAGTCAGACATGCTTTCTCTTCCCTAATACCTATAGAAGTTGTGGGCCACTCAACAGTTGTGTGTGTGTGTGTGTGTGTCTGTGCTAAGTAGAGTCTTCTCGGGAGTGTGCATGTGCACATCTATGCACAACTACAACTAGTTGGCCCTAGGACTGCTTTGGGGATGGGTGTCTTTGTGGCTGTGTGTGTGTGTGTGTATAGCCGTGGGAGGAGCCTGGTCTGTGGGTGTGTCCTTGCATATGGGAAGCCTGTCCTTTAGGCAGTATTTTGGTTGTATATCTGTGTTGTGGTAGATAAGGGAGCTTTTTGGGTTGTTTGGTGGTGCTATTTATACAAGGTTATGAGAGATAGCTTCAGGGACTGTGTGTATTAAGTTAATCTGACACCTTCTCGCCTTTTCTCCAAGGAGTTCAGGTGCTCCCCAAACTGTGAAATTGCGTGTCTGTGTGTGTTTGCCTGCATGCAGAGGCCCGTGAGTCTGGCAGTGTGTATTTTACGTGTGAATGCATCTGTTTGAATAGCAGTGTTTATAGATGGGAGTCCAGGGCCTGGCAGAGTGAGTAGTACACAAGGGTAAAGGTGTGTGCTCATGGGTGGGTACTCATGTGCATGTGTTTTGATGCGACACCTCAGTAAGACACCTGGAATCTATGAGGAAACCTTCCTCCTTAACTTGATTCTTTGACTCCTATGACCTCTCCTCCTCCTCTCCTTCTTAAGAAAAAGGATGAACCAGTACCAGCAGGTGGCATGGTGGTTAAGGTGCTGGACTTCCACATATCCAACTGTGGTTTGATTCCCAGACCTAGTGGTGGCTTGCTTTCTCACTCCCCCCACCCCTGTGAGTGCACGTGCCCTATAGCAAATTAAAACAACAATAATAATGATAAATAAAATTAAATAATAATTTTTTTTAAAAGGATGAGCCATTCCTATAATTTGATGGAAGAGAAATTGGAGCTATTGCATAGTTATAGTAACTGGCCCATAGTCTCATTGTGGCTGCATTGGGTTTGGGTATATGAAAAATGCAGCCAGAAGCGCTTTGTCAACCAGAACCCTTGTGTCCATTTCCTGAAAGGATTCATTGGTCAGAAGCTTCCAATGAGTCAAACAAGTTGTGTGCTTCTGAATGAAGGCTGTGTGGTTGTGTCTAAGATGTTCAAGCAATGGCGTGTGAGAAGGATAGTTGTGTGTATCATATGCGTGTGCTGATTGTATATCTGATGAGTGTTTGTATCAGTTGTGTTGGAGCTGTGAGTGTGTGTATGTGTGTGTGTGTGTGTATTTGTATGAGACTCATGTAAGAGAAAGGAAACCAAGATACTAGGTGGGTGTCAGATAGCTGATAGGGACAGGGTTGCCTGTGTGTATGTGCGTGTAGTGTGTGTGTGTGTAATATCTATTGAGAGAGCGGTGCTTTGTCTATGATAAAGGGGAGGGTGTGTCTTTGTTCATTTCTCTATTTTCTGCACCTCATCTAGTACTAGGCATTTAGTGGGTGTTTGATAAAGACTCACAGAATGAATGAAGAGATATTAATAAGTATTTGAGAGAATAAAGGCTTGGGATAAGGCCGTATATGTATATGGAAAAATGTGTGTGTGTAATTTCCGAGATCTGTTGTGGGTGGGCATGAGGGTTGGAGATACTGCTTGCGTCTGGAGATGAGAGGCGTGGTTACAACCCTACTGATTCTCCTCCTCCTTCTCCCCACCCCAACCTCATTCCTTCTCCTTTTATTCGTTCCTTCTTTCCTAGGCAGCTTCTATAATATCCTGTGCTCATTACACTTCTAGTACATTCTCATCTAGTGAAGGAGAAGAACCATGGCTTCCTACTGTTGGGTATTACGGTGAGGGGAAGAAGACGTTAAGGGGAGCAGACCTAACTCCTAATTGTTGAGAGAGTTTTTGGGGCTAGAGTTCCCAAGTTTCCCTGGAAGTAACAGTCGGTTCATTATCATCTATTCTGAGTAGTTCTCAACTTCTGGGATCGAGGGTGTATTTAAAAGTCAATAATTCATTTCCACCCAGGGTGGAAAAAAAAAAGGTCAATAAATCATAGTACCCCTTAAAAGGCAGCTTTTTTTTTTTTTAAATATCTGTTTATTGTGAAAATAAATGACACAAAACTTCTATGAATTCAGAAAAGCTTTTAGATGACTTTGATGATATATTTGCCATTGTGGCTAATAAAATATACATTAGAAAACTAGTTTTAGCTTTATATGTAAGACGGACCAATTTGCCTTCAGAGGTTTCGCATGCCTATGGATTTGTGGATCCTTTGGAATTCTCCCTGCCTTTCTGGGGTCTAGCTTACCTATTGACTGAGAACTTCCACGCTAGGAAATTTGCTATCTCTCTTGGGGGTCTGGCCACATGTAATTGAAGACATGCTGAGAGTCTGGGTACTGCTGAATATCTGCCAAAGCCAGGGTAGAGTTGGTGGGGACTTTTGCGTATCAGCGCTTCTTCACCACTGCTGTCCCCCCCACCGTGTGTGTGTGTGTGTGTGTGTGTGTGTGTGTGTATAGAAGGGACTGAAAAGAGGTTGAGGACGAAGGTGCATGCAGCTGTGTGTGGGAGACCTCCGGTGGAGCGGTGACACTGACATTTAGGACACAGTGTCAGGGGTAGGCCTTGCTCCAGAGAGAAATGGAAAACTGGCGACGATGTGCGTGCTCGCAGGGAGGTAGACACGTGTCTCATGTGTGTGTTTTCTAAGACTGATAATGATTTAATTCAGCAAGTAGTTATCAAGGCCTCCTTTGTGATAGACCTTGAGTTGGGGCTTCAGGGCAGTCAAAGATGAATAAGATGGACTCTCCGTTCTGGGAATTGACTGGTTAATTGAGGAAGCAGATTAAAGAGCTACCCAGAGGGCCAATGGGTGGTGTGGTGGTTAGGGACGCTTGACTCCCACATGGCTAAACAGTTCGAGTTCCAGACCTGGTGGCTTGCTTTCTCACTTTCTCTCTCTTTGGTGAGCATGTATGCCCTATAATAAATTTAAATAAATAAATAAATAAAAATAATTCTTAAAAAAAAAATAAAAGCTGCCTAGTGTATGGTCAAGAATGTAGATTCTACATCCAGACTGCCGGGGCAATGACCTTCCCCTTAAGCCATCTTTGCCCTGGTTGCCTTATCTATAACATGGGGATAGTAATAATACCAACTTTATAGCACTGTATAGGATTAAATGAGCTAATCCATGTAAAGTGCTTAGAACAGTGCCTTGTGCATGGAAAATGCTCAGTAAATACTAATAAAACAAAACAAAATAAAAAAGTTTCCAACTCAATATCGTGTGGTATATGCCCAGGGAAGTAGCAAGGCAGTGTAGCTTAGTGATTGTCATAGACTCCCATGACTTAGATCTGGGTTTAAATCTGTCTTCTCTACTCCTTAGGCCTGTGACATCAGGTGAGTCCCTGAATTTTAGCCTCATTTCCTCTTCTCCTCCTCCTCCTTCTTTCTTTTCATCTTTCTCTTCTTTTTTTAGAGAGATTTTTGCCATAGGGCATGTGCACTCACCATAGAGACAGAGTCAGAGAGTCAGAAAGTGAGGAAACCTCCCCCATGGTCACACCTAGTCCCTTTTCTTCCATTTTCCCCTTGGGATTTTAGGCATTCACGC